ACTGTTTGTGGTAAGAATGTAGAAGTGAAACTTACTTCGGAAGTTTTTTTTATTTTTTATTTTTTATCTGAATGGCAAAACTACCACAATACAAAAACAGTTACTGTTCATGATGTGTTATGTTTTAATTACAGTGAGAGATTTCAAATGAAACAACGAACTATAAACACAATACAATAACTGAAATTTTTCTGAAAGTTTCACGGTGGTATTCAGCCTGAGATTGCTTGACAAATTGGAATTGTGACTTTTTTTGTCAGCCAAACTGCCCCCCACCACCACCACAACCACAAAAATAAAAAAAAGGTTAGTTTCAGTTCAATAACACATTCACATGTTCACATAAATACAACATTCAGGTAAGTAAAATATAAAATATATAAAATAATAAAATAAATGATAAAAAAATTATATCTATATAATTTTCCTTTTCCTTAAACTATGATACATCATGATATACATATATATTTTTTAAAACTTTTTCAAATGTATTTTTAAAAATAAATTTGAAGGAGTAGCCCAGTGGGTATATCTAATTGGAAGATATTATACATAAAATGAAGACTGACAGTAATAGCACAATTTAAAGGCTGGACAAAATAGGCATCTAAGCCTCTTATTACTAATTTGAGCAACATTTAAATGAATAAAAGCAACTAAGAAGGACTGTGTTTCAGTATAATAATGAGTTGCTAATGGTATTGTGTAATGCTAAAGATCACTTTAATGATGCTGGTCTTGATTAAAAATAATAATTTTATGTTACTTCCATGTAATCACTCAAATCCACCTACTGAAGGAAACATCTCAAGTGATAGTCTATTTGATTAACTTTAATTGGTGGCAGCAAGTGAAAACAAAAGCTGTCATTTTGCCACCCACAAACATTATGGAGTTGGCTGAGGGTTTGAAGGGTGAGTCATTAAATCAAACCAATTCTGTGAAAGGAGCTATTTAACTATTAGTGCTGGACTTTAATTGAGAGAATAATAATAACCCTCTTGTGATGACCTATTACATTTGATGAAGTTTTCAAACTTTTTAATGGAAAAGGAAGAACTCAAGACCAAACATTCAGGAAACACATAACAGAAAAACACAATTGTCAAAGACCGAATCAATTGTGTAGCTATGGGATATAACATTTTTAACATTTGGTAAATTTCATATAGTATGACATTAGCACGTTAAGTTTATTACAATCAAATAATTTTTTTTAAATACATTTGGGTTTGAATGATATTGGCTTTTGATATTGACATTTTAGATGATGATTTCATCAATCATTATCATCAAATGTTAGTTGTTTAGTGTAAAAAAATGCATTTGGTCTCTTTTATTTAAATTTCATGCCTTATTATTACACTGGGTAGGTGTACTACTTTTGGATCCGGTAGTCAAGTCAAGTCACCTTTATTTGTATAGTGCTTTATAAAATACTGATTGAGTCAAAGCAGCTTTACAGTGTCAAACAGGAAAACTCCATTGGTGACAAAAAATGGAGAAAAAACCTTGGAAGAAACCAGGTTCAGTCGGGGGCCAGTTCTCTGACCAGACGAAACCAGCATTGCGTGATTTAATTCCAGGCTGCAACACAGGTCAGATTGTGTAAAGGACTTATCTGGTTCCCGTGGTCTTATGTCGATGGTTGTCGAGGTGACGAGGTCTTCTTAGGGGATCTCTCTCTGGGGCGCATCTAGTTGACATGGTCTCCGCTGACATTCAGGGCTGTAGAGGTTCGTAAGTTCATTTAGTAAAAGATTCCCAGAAAAATATGTCAGAGTGGTATAGGTTCATGAGTATTTTTGAATGATTCATTAAAAGAGCTGATTTTTGAGTTGTAAATCGTAGTTTACATCTAAATTATGCAGTTTACATTTGTTTTTGTGCACGGTAGAGGAGCACCACCTCTGAAAAGTGTTGAGAGATACACTGCTGTGATCTGGGACTACCTCAAAACGATTTATAATTTTATGTCTTTACATTTATCGGATACAACAGAATTAGACTGTCAGTCTGTGTAGTAGCTCCCTTTAACATTCAATGTTCATCTCATTTGTACCGAGCTGTCTCCTCATGGTTATATCAACATGTTTATGACTGAATCAACAATCTTATACACATTTTCGTACTAACTGCTTATGCCTGACAACTCAAATTGTGGCTGATATGGAAAACTCAACATATGGCATAACATAAATCTTACAAGTTCATGTAAAATATTGGCAAAATGTAAAATATGCCTGTTTTTTAATGTGATCGGGGTGGGAAAAATTTTGACTCCACCAGTTGCATCGTACAGTATGTTTGTTTTCTTGTGTAGCCTGTGAGAATGGAAAGACTATGAGAACACAGTGGTATATACAGTGACTTGTGAAAGTATTCATACCCCATTCATTTTTGTTGCTGCCTTATGTTAAACTGCTTTAAATTACTTTTTTCCCACACCAATCTACACTCCATACACCATACTGACAAAGCAAAAACAGAATTGTCACAACTTCGTAAATTTATTAAAAATAAAAAAAACTGAAATAAGTACATTGCATAAGTATTCAATAACTAAATATTTCGCTGAAGCACCTTTACAGTCTCAAGTCTTTTTTGTTTGATGCGACAAGTTTTGATCATCATCGTTTGGCAATTATCTGCCATTCTTCTCCTCACCTCTTCACCTCTCAAGCTCTGTCAGGTTGGATGGGAGTCTTTTTTGTTTGATGCGACAAGCTTTGCTCATCAGCATTTTGCAATTATCTGCCATTCTTCACCTCACCTCTTCTCCTCTCAAGCTCTGTCAGGTTGGATGTGAGCAAATGCACATTTTCAAGTTTCTCCAGAATTATTTGATTGGGTTCAAGCTCAGGCTCTGGCTGGGCCACTCAAGGACATTCACAGAGTTGTCTATAAGCCAATCTTGCTGTGTGCTTAGGTTCATTGTCCTGTTGGAAGGTGAACCTTCTGCCCAGTCTGAGGTTCTGAATGCTCTGGACTGGGTTTTCATTAAGGCTAACGCAATATTTTGGTTAATTGAGCTTATCTTTTACTCTGACGAGTCCCTCTGTCCCTGCCACTGAAAAACAGCCCTACAGCATGAGGCTGCTACCAGCACACTTTACTTTTGAGCTGGTACTCTTCAGGTGATGAGCAATGCCTGGTTTCCTTCAAACATGATGCTTGGAATTGAGGTTCATCAGACCAGAGACTCTTGTTTCTCAGTTTGAGAAAAGTTTCTCAAATTGCTAGTGACCATCATGGTCTTGGTCACCACTCTAACCAAGACCCTGGCCAGGAGGCCAGCTCTAGGAAGAGTCCTGGTTGTTTCAAACTTCTTCCATTAAGGGTAACAGAGACTACATGCTTCTGTGACCCTTCAATGAAGCAGATTTTTTTCTGAAATCTTCCCCAGATGTGTGGCTTGACACAAACCTGTTTCTGAGCTCTAAAGGCAGTTCTTTTGACCTCAGGGCTTGGTTTTGCTCTGATATGCATTATCAGCTGTTAGACCTTTACAGCATTTGGACCAATCAGACACACAACTTTTTGTTAAATTTAACAAATAATATCTAACGCCCCCTCACCTAACCGAAGGGTCAATCCCCCGAAATGCATCTAACACCTCAGAAAGGCAGAACAGGCCTCTGGTTCCATGGCAAACAATGCTGATATCACTGGTTTTATTGCCCAAAGGAATGCGGGCAGAGCAACTCACTCATTTTCCTCATAGGAAAGACACATAATGCCCAGAGAAATGGACTGATCTCTAATTAATTCATAGGAAAACCTTTCTTTGAATGAACACGCATATCCTTCAGGTCATTGTGTATACCATTACTGTTCTTGTATATTGTCTGTTG